GTGTGTGCATCCAGCTCCACAATTCCTAAAGTGCAGCTCCCTCTAGTGACACACCAGCCCTCCAGAGCTGCCACCGTGCACCCACGAGGCAAGGTCACTGCTGTGCAAGGACAGCACCCATGAGGAGGGTCCCCAGGGTGCAGGAACAGCACCCATGAGGAGGGTCCCCATGGCACAGGGACGGCACCCACGAGGCAAGGTCACCGCTGTGCAAGGACATCACCCACAAGGAGAGTCCCCACCGTGCAGGGACGAGACTCATGAGGAGGGTCCCCAGGGTGCAGGAACAGCACCCACGAGGAGGGTCCCCATGGCACAGGGACGGCACCCACGAGGCAAGGTCACCGCTGTGCAAGGACATCACCCACAAGGAGAGTCCCCACCGTGCAGGGACGAGACTCATGAGGAGGGTCCCCAGGGTGCAGGAACAGCACCCACGAGGAGGGTCCCCACGGCACAGGGATGGCACCCATGAGACAAGCCCTAAGGCACTTCCCGGCAGCAGCCCCGGGGTGCACGCAGCGGGCACGGCACGGCTAAGCCCAACAGACACGCGGTGCTTGTGGACAAGGAGGCGGCTGATGAAGCACCGGCATCGAGACCAAAAACTCATCCTGGCCTAATTATTCCTAATATTCAATTCATCAATCTTGAAGGGGATGATCGCACTCCGCTGGAGCGGCTGCCAGCGGCGATCCCTCCTGGGGCTTGTCACACCGTCAAGCCGTGCCAGCTCTTCCCAGGCAAACGAAAGGCAGCGGGAAGGCAGGAGGCGGCTCCGAGCCAGGCAGGCGAGCCCCAGCCCCGGGGGACAGGCTGGGGCGGGCGCTGGGGGTGCACAGGGCAGACCCCAAACCTCAAGTCCCCTGCGATGGGGAGGGTCCCCACATCCACTGCTCCTCAGGGACACGCCAGCACAGCCACAGCCTCTCGGCACCCATCACCCATCATGCCCACGCAAGAGAGGGGAGGAGAAGGGGGCCAGAAGGTGCTCGGCGGCGGAGCAGCAGCTCGAGGGGCCACTGCAGCCCACGGGGACTTGCAGCCGGGAATGCCAAGAGTGAGGCTGGAGCAGTCGGCACTGGTCTGACTTGCCGGACCTGCCCCAGGATCTGGGAGATCAAGATCTCCCAAGGATCCAGGAGATCAGCCAACCCCAGGGCTCTGTGGGGAAGGGACACCCTTCGAAGGGTGGCAGGGCTCCCTGGAATGGGCAGGGGTCCCTGGGGCAGCAGGCAGGGCTCTGCAGGGCAGGCAGGGCTCCCTGCAGCAGGCGGGGCTCCCTCAGGGCAGGCAGGGCTCCCCAGGGCACCCCTGCAACCACGCACGGAGCTGGAGCCGGGCCGACACCGCGGGCAGCGCCGCGCATCGGTGCCAGCCCACCCCGTTTGATCTCCCCGCAAACAGACAGCTCTCCGAGGTCGCTAGCTCCCTGCTGGGGTGGGCTTTAAAAGTATATTAAAAAAGGGGGTGGGAAAAGAGGGATTTTGCCGCAAAGATTGATGCTGACTGCGAGCTGCGAGAAGGCAAGGGCGAGCCACCCCGTGCAAGGCTGTCATTTCAAATCAGAACGCGCCGCCAACCTCGAGGGACTGTTTTGATCATTAACGGAAAGGATTTTTTCGTCGCTTTCCTCAATCAAATTAATCTGAAGTGAAAAACGTGGAGCTGACAAAGGAAATATTTATAAAGCAAACGAGGCAACATCAAAGGCAAGCGGGCGCCCGGCTCCCAAGGCTACTGAAACGGCGAAGGCAGGAGCCCGGCGCGCGCTCCTGGTTATGGGGAGCTTTAAACATGGAGGCTGGCGGCACTCGCAACCAAACGGCTTTTTG